AAGACTTTGTTTCTCTTGCTGACTCTCTGTCCTCAAGGCAATTCTAAAATCTTGCACTCTGGAAGGAAGAAAATAATTCTAATTTGAAAGGTACTGGGTCATATCCCAAATGTCCACAGAAAGGGGTAAGTAGAGCCAGCTCTAGGAGGGTGCAGTCTGCAGGCCAGGCCAGCCAGCCCTGGGTGCTGCAGCAGTGCCTAAAGTCAGGGTGACAGACACCAAGACGAGAATTAAGGCTGTGTGTGCAGGGAGGGAAGTGATTGGGAAAGTGACAGGGAACCTTCTAGAGGGGGGAAACCTTCTGTGTCCGGGGTGAGGTGCCCAGCTGTTCCCTTAGACCTGTAGGTGTCATGCTCCATCACGTCTACCTGGAAGGAAGACTACAAGGTAAAAGCTTCGGGTTGCGGTAGCAAGGCAAGCAGAGAGGAAGTGGTTATAGGTGGTACCCAGAGGCATCCATCCTGGGCAGGTGGGTGGAGGGTAGTGCCAGTGGGGGCTGGGAACAAGAGCAGGAGCAGATGTTAAGCAGCACCTGTGGGGGCAGGGCAGGGCTTGCAGTGGGTCCTGCTGGGGGGTAGAGGCAGGAGAGATGCTCCTGGGCAGCCACAGCTGTGATGCCCTCAAGCGTCCAGGGCCACCATGACCCAGCAACCCTTGCGACCCCCACCCCCAAGACACCCTCCAGGTTCAGGTCTGTCTGCTCAGCTGTAAGTAGAGCAGCACAGCCTTTTAAAGCTCTTTGCAGGAGTGGCACTTCCCACGAGCCCAGAGGGCAGAGGGCAAAGGCTCCTGGCTTCCTGCCCTTCAATTACTGTATGCCAGCCCATGCACTGACTCATCCCGGAGCCTGGCTGAGTCATGTCCACAGCAGTGGGTGCCCAGTAGGTGCACCGTAAGCCACTCATCTAAGAAAGCGTCAGACCCCAAGAGCAACTGTTGGGTGGAGTGACTGGTGCCCCCAGCTCTTGGGGGCAGGAGGGGGTGTAGCGGCCACACAGCAACTGGCCCAACCTCAGTGCGTGGCAAGGTCCCACGAGCCTAAACTTGATGTGCTGGGGGAAAAGGGCTTTCTAAGGAGAGAAGGCTATCTCCAGTCAGCGCTAGCAGCGGACGGAAGTCCACTGTTGGAGGAATAGTGTTCAGCCTGTGTTGCTGTTTGAGATCCCGCTTGGCATCCCCACGAAGTTCCAATTTTCTTCTTTCCAGAGCATGTTGATTATTTGTTTTTGAACGGCAGATTCACAAGAGAAGAAAGATCTTCCATCTGCTGGTTCACTTCCCAAATGGCCACAATGGCCAGAGCTGAGCCAATCTGAAGCCAGGAGCCAGGAGCTTCCTCTGGGTCTCCCACATGGGTGAAGGGTCCCAAGGCTTTGGTGCTTTGGGCTATCTTCCTCTGCTCTCCCAAGCCACAAGCAAGGAGCTGGATGAGATGTGGAACAACTGGGACATGAACAGGTGTCCATATGGGGTCACATTATTGAGGGGTGCTTGAGGAGGGAGGATTCGCCAATTGAGCCATTGTGCCAGACCCAGCATGCTGATTTGGGGAACAGGTTTTCAGGCAAAGGCCCTGCCTCCCTGCCCCCCTGAGCAGCCCTAATGCACAAAGGTGGCCAGGGACCATTGGCTGGTGCCCCCACTGGTGCTTCACTGAAGCAGCGGCTGCGGACAAAAGGGAGGCGGTGGGCGAGGGGAAGCTGAGACTTGTCTTTAGGATGAAGGACCATTTTCAAAAGGTAGCACTTTTCCAAAATTGCTTTGCATTTTCAGTATAATTTGACATCTCAGGCTATTCTGAAAAAGTTTCTTTTTTTTTATTTTTTAAAATCTGAATCAGTGGTTATGGAGCATTTTCATGGGCAGGTGTAATAACATGTCAGGTGTATTTGCAGAAGTGATGTGAGAAAAGTTAATAGCTTTTATGTGAGGAGGAAGTGGGAGAGTTACAGCAAAATGGTCACTTCCCTTTTTTTAAGATGTATTTGTTTTTATTGGAAAGGCAGATTTACAGAGAGAAGGAGAGACAAAGATCTTCCATCTGCTAGATCACTCCCCAAATGGCCAACAACCAGAACTGAGCTGATCCGGAGCCAGGAGCTTCTTCCAGGTCTCCCATGTGGGTATAGGAGTGCAGGGGCCCAAGGCTTTGGGCCATCTCTACTGCTTTCCCAGGCCACAAGCAGGGAGCTGGATGGGAAGTGGAGCAGCCAGGACACGAGCCAGCACGTACGCTGGGTGTCGGCACTTGGAAAGGGAGGATTAGCCAGTTGAGCCAACATGCAAAGTGGTTGCTCTCACCCAGAGGGAAGGGACAAAGACTGGAGAGGTGAGCTCTCGGGCTGCTGGGTCTCCTCAGGTGTCAGCGACTTGCCACTGACCTCACACCACCCCACTAATCCGCTTGCATGTAGTGAGGCACGTTATAGACCAGTGATTATTTTTCTGTTCAGTCAGCAGTTTGTGCACCCTGAGCCATGGCCAAGCTCATGTTCCTGGAATCTCAGGGGGGGACGCTCCCTGGTTTACTCCTGGGATACCCGAGAGAAGGGGCAGTTGTCCTTCCCACTGTGGCTGCCACAGTGCTGGGGTCCTGACTGAACTGTGAGAGGAATCCTAGTATTGCTTATCAGCCCTCTGCTTGGTAGATACCCAGCTGGGGAGCTCCACAGAGGGCAAGATGCCCCAGGTACCCCACAGGGGCAGACGCCCAGGCACCCCACAGGGGGCAAATACCCCAGCTTCCCCACAGCAGGCCTGGAGGAAGGCAGAGCCCTGTCTGAGCCTCAGCTTATTTGTGTTCACTTCTTGAGCATCTGCTAGGTTCTGAGAATAGAATAAAAACGAGGACACCTGCCCTCAAGTGGGCTGACCTCCTGGCATTACCATTGCCCCCAAAATTGTGAGTGCTTTTGAGAAAGCTGAGAGGATCCTTTTAGAAATGGGAGTCTGAGAAAAGCTCTCAGAGAGAGTGGCTTTTAAGCTGGGATGAATGTGCGTGAGAACACGGATGTGCAGACGAGTAAGGGATTGTGCAGGGGGAGGTACCACATGTGCAAGGATCTTGAGCCATGGCCTGGGAGGAAAATCACGCAGGCCATGCTGCTGGGGCAGAGAAAGTGAGGAGGGGAGCAAAGCCATGACAAGCTGTGTCCTTGGCTCCCAGGATCACAGTGGCCTCTCTCCTGGGAGAAGCAGGGAGATCTACTGAGGTTTTTTTCAATAATCCAAGCAAAGCATGATAGTGACTTATACGACGGTGGCAGCAGTGGAAGCAGTTGGAAGTGGTGGCATGCATGGCAGTGTAGAGACATGGTGACCTTCTGATGGATCAGACACAAACAGGACAAGGAAAGAAGGGCCCAGCCCACTGTGGGTGTTTTGTTGACTGAGCAGCCCGAGGCTGGGGACAATGTCCTCCAGGTGAGTCTTCAGGCTCGTCTTGTCCATGCTCACCCACCTCAAGCACTGTTGGAGCAGCCCAGGATTTTTATCTCTGTTTCCCACCACCCCGTGGCCATAATGCTAGCTGCCCATTTGCCACCCATGTGGGGAGGGTAGAGGAGTCTCAGGTAGTCCTGTGAACAATGAGTACACATTACCACATTGCAAATGAGGAAACCGACACTCGCTGGGTTGAGGGTCTGTCTTAAATGGCTCATCTTCGAGTCAGCACAACAGGGCCCACATTCTCCACTCTTGCACACCACTTGTAGAGTCATTGTACATGTGCCTGGAGCCAGGCTCCACGGTGTGCAGCGTGGACCACATGTGCACTCTGACGGGAGTATTTTATCCACTGTCAGCCTCTTTTTACAGCTGGAATGTCAAGTCTCAGATTTAAGATGTCATCCAGAGACCAATTTCTTAAACTCTGTGCTGCATTCCAAAGATAAGCAATTATCAAGCTCAAAAGATGACACTAGAATTGACTAAAATCCAGATTCCACTTCTTGTGAAATGAGCATTCAAGGAGGCACCTCTTTGTTGTTTAATCAATAGTCTGTTGCAGCTGGCACTAGAAAGTGCTCGAGTCCACAGATGTCACCAAGGCCCTCCTACAACCTGGCCACTCTATCAGGCATGAGAGCTATGGAGGACACCGGATCACGGCCAAGGGTGGGGTCTGGCCAAGCAGTAGCTAGGACACAGAAACCAGGGTAATTGCCATGTATGCATCTGTTTGCTTTTCTCTACTTGGGCAAGGCTGTTCGAAATATCAGATTGTGAGTTGGCTCGTTGCGTCTCAGAGAAAATGTGCCATCAACTTGATCTGACCGTATTCTACATTTTTCTTATAAACTCAAGCACTTCTCTCCCCTTCTGATGTCACACTTGAGTAGTGGAGGTGGGAGAGAGGAGAATGGCTAAACGACAGCTGAAGGTAATGTTTAACCTGCATCACATCTATTTCCCTGTGATTAACCCTTAAAAGCTTAATTTACACCCCCCCCAAAAAAAGCCATTTTCACAAAGGTTTAAAGCTGACTTATTCATTTAAGAATGCCTCGTATGAACTGGCATTGTGGCATAGTAGGTAAAGCCAACACATGCAATGCTGGACCCCTTATGATCACCAGGTTGTATCCTGGCTACTGCACTTCTGATCCAGCTCCCATTTGGGAAACACAGCAGAAGCTGGGCCAAGTGTTTGGGTCCCTGCCACCGACACAGGAGATCCAGATGAAACTCCTGAGTCTCGGCCTTGACCTGGCCTGTTCCTGGCCATTGCAGCCATCAGGGAAATAAGCCAATGGATGGAAGATCTTTCTCTCTGTCTCTTTTTCTTTCTATGTAGTTCTGCCTTTCCAATAAGAATAAACAGACCTTTAGGGATGAGGTTTCATGGGCAGTGAGGCTAGCTGGAAGCTAGCAGAAAATTGTGTGGTTTATCTTGGAGCCTTGGGCAGTGAATAGGGGATAATAAAATCAGACCTGCTGTCAGGTGGGTTTGCAAGCAGCAGACTGACGATTTCCTTGCTGTCTGCCTCTTCCTGCAGAAAAGCCTGGACACTTACTGTTTCCTGGTCTTCGCCACCATTTGTGTCACAGGTGCCATCTACCTCTACCTTGTCCTGCCTGAGACCAAAAACAGAACGCACTCAGAAATCAGCCAAGCATTCGCCAAAAGGAACAAGGCCTATCCACCAGGGGAGAAGAGCGATGCAGAGCCCTCCTCCGCAATGAACAACTACGCTGAGAACGGGATCGTCTAAACCCACGATCACACTGCTTTCCCGAAGGCTGCACCTGATAGATGTCATGCAAGTCTTATGTCATTAACTGTGTAAAAAGAAACCTGTGCAGAGCTGACATCACACCCACTCGGCTTCACTCAGAGCCAGATTGCCCCACCCCGGCCTGTGTCCGGCAGCCCCAGCGTTTTTCTTGGCAGCAGCTGGCATGACCCTGGCTTCATAAGGAAACTGGGGGCATAGTGTTTACTTTCTCAGAGGAAAACGCTGCCCTGATGGTGGACTCGGTGGACTGGCAGCCACTGGCCGAGGGCCTCACCCCAGGTTGACTATAGCAGGCTTCCTTCATTGTTCTTCCTGCAGCTCAGGGGCCCTTGGCCTTGGATATGGGCCTTGAAGATCCAGCAGAAAGACGCATGTCTTGTTGATAAGTCCCTTCTGCCAACCTCTGGCTCTCCTTGTGGAATCAGGCACAGGAGAGCCTGATGCCAACTCCACCACCATCCTGCAGGTTCAGCCTCTCTTGAGCTGGACACCCCAAGACTGACACCCTCACACCACTCTTATGATGTATTTCTATTTTTGTAGCATGTTTGTTAACTTCACGTTGATGAAAACGTATTCTTTCCACCCCAATGTGGACTGCGTTCCTATGAAACAGAAGTCTGCTTTTTTATTTGTTGGACATTAGTAGTGTATTAAGCCTGAAGCTATAACATTAAATTGAAATCATGTTGTTGCAAAAGTTAAAGAACTAAGGAAGGAGATGCAACTGAAGAAGAGAGGGAGGAAGAGTGGTTGTCTCTTAGAATCACACATACGAGAGCCTGGGACTCAAGTTCCAGCTGAAAAACTTGAGCCAGAACATCAGGATAAGTGGGACAAAGGATAAAAGAGAAGTTTCTTTAGTAGACTCGGGTAGAATAAGACAAGCAGGACATAGTGGCTGGCTCCCTGCAGAAATGGAGGTGGAAGTTTTGCAAATAGCACCTTCTGGAGTCACCTGTGGTTCGGCACCATCTACTGATTAAAGGAGTGATGACGCTCCGGCAGTAAAGGGCTCTTCAAGAAAGTGAGGTGAGAAGTGAACCCACAGTCCTCCACCCTAGCCGCTCCTACAATTTCAAAAACTAAATAAAGTAGCACTGGAAGGCATCTAGCCAAATATTCGTTGGTTAATGGAAGAAGGTGAGACAATTGGCCAGCCAGTCACCAACAAGCCAGGAGAAAGCAGCAAAGCCTGTGAGAGGTCAGGCGTGGCTTCCCACAACAGATGTTGGCAGCTGCTCCAGCAGCACTGGCTGAGGCCACCTGCTCCCTTCCCCTGCTGAGAGATTAGGGAGCTCAGACTCAGCAGAACTAAAAAATATTCCTGCTTTTTCTTGTTCCATGAGATTGAAAGTTAAGGGTGCTTTGCTTATAGCGAAAGTCCACCCCCTTAGAAAAATGGCATGCTATGCTCAATCCTAAACATTTACAGTGATAAAAAAAATGTGTACAGATCTTATTACATAGTGAGTGAATGTATTTGTGCATGTATAAGAGGATGCCTCAGAAGGTTCTTGGGAGATTGAATTCAAAGGTTTTTATTTTGGTGTCAAAAATTTTGAAACCTCCCCCCAAACTTTTTGAAATCCATGAGTATTTTGTCACAATGTACATATTACACAAACTTTAATATCTGGGAATTCGATTTTATATCTCTTTGGGGGACATTGTCCTGCCTATCATACTACTCATTCCTTAATTTAATCTTTCGGGCAATACTTATTGTGCACCTGTTATGTGCCTGGTATTCTGCTGGCTAAAAACAAGGCAGTCAAGCCAACAAGACCCCTGTCCGATTACAGTTGTTCATTGTTCCAGTTAGGTACCGGCTGACCTGGCCTAGAGCTGCTGAACACTGTTTCATATGCTTAGTTCATGGAAATTGAATTAAAAGATAAGTTTCTTTTGATACCAAGGTATTCTAAAACCAACACACCTAAGAGATCTTCGGCTAGAACACTTACACCTGTAGCGTCTTCGCTAGTCCCTAGCTCAGCGCAGTGTTCTTAACTGTGGCCATGGTGCTGTGTGTTAGAAGTCCAGAACTTAATCCTGCACAACTGAAACTGTGTGCCCTTGAAACAACACCTTCCCGTTTCTCCCTCCCCACCTCCAGCCCTGGGCACCACTATTCTGCTCTCAGTTATGCCACTAAGTGGTGGCACTTGTTACATCAGCAATGGAAATTGATGGCTGCCTAGGGCACTGGAGACTCTAGACCCGGCATGTCTCCAGGCTTCAGCCTGGAACAGGAGGGGCCACAGGAGCCGGTTACATCACCGACCTGGCAGGATTCCAGTTGGCCAATGGCACAACTGAATGGACATTCCTTACATAGTTGAGACACAGACAGCCCCTTTGCCCTCCCACGTGTCTAGAGGGGTATAAAACTCCTCCACATGTATCTCAGACGCCCTTTTCGCTTCCCTCTTCCTTCCCCTCTGCACAAAGGGGGCCAGGAGCGGATTTTCCAAAGCTTCCATCACAACTCTGAACAACTTGCCGATATTATTCCACCAGCAGGCGGGCGGTGGTCATCATCTAACAGAAATGATCACGGATTACCTTGTGCCTCCACAGTGGGTAATGAACAAGCAACACAAATGGAACATCATTGAGAAGTGAGACAGAAATATTAAAAGTTTTTTCTATTTCTTTTTCACCTTGAAGTAAACATCACTCGAGTTGATTTACCTGGGACAAACACTACGCCGTTCCGGGTAGGCGTTTTTCAGATCACACATCCTGTCTGCTTCTCCTCACAGGCTTTTTACAGAACTTCGCTTCCTCTAGACCTCAGAATCCAAAGAATTCCAGCTTTTCATCCCATCCAGTAACATCTTTTTGTTTGTTTCTAGCACTAAGTAGGCCCTTCTTGGAAGAGGAACAAGTGAAAAGGGTTGTAGACGAGGTGCTAGCCTAGGCCACCCACCCTAGACCACCAGGTGAAAGGCAGCATCTATGAGTATGCCACGGGAACTGAGTTCAATGGGGCAGAGCTGCTGTAGCAGCCCTAAGCTGCCCACCTCTAGTCTTCCTTTGACAGTCAAATCATCTATGTTGTTTAAGCTGATCTTACGACTAAACATAAGCTCAATCCGTTCAGGTTGTGACAGGAAAGAGTCTGTGGAGGGGGGATGAAAACAAATGAAGCAAACCCAGTTCTTTGAGCACTCAGCAAGTTGCTTCTCAGAAGGACAGATGGCTGCATGTGGACTCTGTTCTCTATCCCAGCTGCTGGGCCAAGTTTGCTGCTGTCCATAGTGCTGAACGGGGCTTTCTGTCTTACGATGCTAATGCCTGTCTTAACTTTCGTTTGGTTGGTTAGAAAGGCAGAGGTACAGAGAGGTGGGAGAGAAACACACAGAAAAATTTTCTATCTGCTGGTCTACTCCCCAAATGCTTGCAACAAAGTTGGGCCAGACCAAAGCCAAGAGCCTAAAGCTTCAAGCAGGCCAGGTCTCTGACGTGGCTGCGGAGGCCCAAACACTCATGCCATCTTCCGCTACTTTCCCAGGCATATTAGCAGGGGATCATAAGTGGACTTGCCAGCACTGAAACTGGTGCTCATGTGAGATGCCAGCATGGCAGGTGGTGGCTTAACGCATTACACCACAACATTGCCCATAATTCCTTTACTTTTCAAGTTGGCAGAAAACACTTGCATGATAGTGCCAACATGCTGGAGAAATTCTGTGACATAAACAACATCCTCCTACCACAGCACCTTTGGGTCTCCACTGCCTCCCCATGTTGACTGAGTCATTTTCACACCTGAATGTACCACATCCATGTGCTTAATCCCTTCTGCTGTGGCAGCCTGGTACTGTGATGGACTGTAACATTAACAAACTTGTTGAATCGTGCCCCCTGGTCTGCCCATCCTTATCTAATCTCCCACTGCATTATCTCTAAACTTAACCATGACACTGCATTGTCTCTAAACTTGACCATGACATCTTGATTGATGAATTCATGCTTGTGGGTGAATTTCTCACTGCTTTAGGAGTGCCAGGATTTGTCACTTCCATGTTTCCCCTGCTGGATTCTGAGATCCTTGACTTTCTTGTATTCGTTGCAGAACTCAACGTTCCTACCCCCTGGTGAGTTCTCATTGCACACTAACAGAAGAAAGGAGTGTTGTGATAAAGATATGAAGAGGAGGCAGTGAGAGCCCAAAGGACCGGACGAAGGTGCCTTGGGATGGTTAGAGCAGGCGCTTATGAGTGGCAGCAAGGGAGCTGCATATGTGCTAATGAAGAAAGGGAGGAGAAATTCAAGATCAAAGGCCCACAACAAAATTAACAAGCACACTCTGAGGACAGAAGACCATTGGAGCAGACATGGTGACCGTGATGGTCGAGGTGGGATGCTGGTTGAGGCTTTGATCTGGACTGTGAACAAACATGAGTTTCATATGGACCCCACTTCCCAAATATCCCCAGAACCAAACTTGTCCTATGTATTCCATGTTCAACTTGACACAGGTCCATGCAGGAGACTTCCAGTTCTGCCACGACCTCTCAGTTTAGTGACAGGATTCTGGGAGGTCAGGCCTGGTATAAATTAGCCGCCTTCTGCTTTTTCCTCCCCTGGTCATCCATGAGCTGGGTGTGAACCCCAAAGAGCAGAGGTTGTGTTGAGTGACAGCTATTCCCAGTTTTAGACACTTACTGTAATTTACACTGTGGTGTGGATGTAATTACTCTTATCAGTCTCACTTCCCCTGGCAAATCTGTATATTATCTCAAGGAAATTTCCTCTCATTAAATCACAGCATTTGGGGATGGCAGTATGTCTCAGCCAAAAACTAGAGCTCAGAAGAAGGGCAGGAAGGAGTGTGGATTCTGAGAGGGAGCGTGGGTGTTGAGAAGAATGTTGTGAACCCTTCCTTCCGTTAGATCCATGTGTAGGTGACTCACATTTGGAGTGATCTTAAAGACATGGCTTACTACCGGAAACTGTTAACGTGT